TCACATACTTACAGGAGGATTCCAGAGGAAAAACTAAATTGACCTAAGAAACTGATTGACTGACCGGCACAGCTTTCACCACGCTAAAGGCACTCCCGAGTTTGTGTGTTGCCTCCATAAAACACAAGAAAAGCATTTACCCTTGATCAAGGTTGAGTGGGTCTGACTTTCTGTGCAATGTTTGGCAGCCATTTCCTTCTGCACAGGGTGTTCATCTGCTAGCTCAGTTAGAGGTTTGGGTATTTTTAATCACACACACACCTACTGACTACAGAAGAAAGAGGAAGTTAATTAAAAGAGGCAGCACTCGTCATTTCCGAGTATAAATAATAGGTTTAATAGCCTGGGAATGATGGGAAAACATGGCCTTTTGTCCTCTCACATACCAAAGCTAACAGGGAGGCACTGTGCCAATATAGCACCAACAAATCTGTTACTGTATATATACATACATACATACATACATACATACATACATACATACATACATACATACATACAATTCTGTTACTAATATATATTAGGACTGTCAAAATAAACGCGTTAATGCACGTTAAATAATTTTGTTTATTGATCGCGTGAAAAAAAATGTGCGCATTTGACGCATGTGCCAAATGACCCACCCACGCATCCCATAATAACACTGACGTGGACGTGTGCGTGTGAGATGGGGACAGAGCAGGTAGGCATTAGTTAGCATTAGCACAACTTCTCATACGCTGTACAGCAATCACTGATGAAATGGTACCTAAGCAACCATTGCTAACAAAATATACAGTACAATAAATGAAAGATTACCGCTAGTTTTCCGTCCAAAGTTAGATCAAGAAGGTCCGGCAGCTGCAGGTCTCTCCAGAAGATACGATGTAAGCTAGCTTTATTCACCAGGGCTTGATTTCTTTTATGATGATTTTTTCGCTTCAGTTCCCTCTTCTCCTCCTCACTTTTGCGTCTTTTGAGCTGTTTTGCTGTGTATGCAGCAACAGCCAGAGGATATAGCCACTCTCTGCTGCCATGCTGCTGTTGTTTACATGCGCTGCAGACGCTAGAGGGGGCGTGGTCTAGGAGAACGAGCGTCACGCAAAGTTTTTCCTCAGCACTTTTTATGGCCTGAATTCATACACCAGCTGAATCAATTAGCTCATTTTTTCAATTGAATTACGGGTTTTAACACAACTTTTAATACAACAAAAATACTGTCTAGTACAGAAAGACCGAATGTGAATTATGTTAATGGTGTTCTATGTGGATTTTCATGGGGATCTGCCTTTGTTTGAATTTCTGTTCATCTGCGACACTTCACTAAGACAGGTCCAGAACTACAGGGACAATGGAACTGGACTTACTCAAAAGCTGATCTGGAAACCAGTGTTATTCCCATGATAAAAGACGTACAAATGCTCGATCTGTAAGTACAGTGCTACTAACTCGCAGTACACATCTGTGAACTGAATAATCAGAGTCTAATTGTGGATCGAGGACAAAGGGCTCGATGTGTCGGATTGCCATTGTTGGAAAATGTTTATTCTAAGGTCTGAAATGACTATGAACTGGCGAATCGAAGAGTTAACTTTGGAGGTAAATAACTTCTCTCTGGATCAGCTCGTTTGAGTTGAGGTGACATCACCCCTGTGCAAGAGATGGCTATAATTAGCCTTTTTTTTTTGATATATCAAAAATATATATATTGGTGCGATATTGGTGCGTGCAATATCCATACCGAAAAGATGCGCTATAAAATATATATATATATATATATATATATATATATATATATATATATATATATATTTTTTTTGATAAAAATGAAAAAACCTTTATGAAAGACAACAAAACAGACAGACACATCAACATTCACAACAACAAACAAACAAAAAAGTATAACAAATATATCCATTTGAAGGTCATTAATGTTGTGCTTTTTTTATTTTTTATTTGTCTCTTGCAATTTTATGTGAAAGACAAAAATATCGCAATAATATCGGTATGGAAATACCTAAACACTCCTATTGAATATTGCTCTAATTTCCAATATTGTGCAGCCCTAGCTATAATCTCACGTTTTAAGTGTTGTATGATGTATCACTCAAAATATTATCACACATGTGCAATATGGAACCTTTAAAGCTGGGATTACTTTTAAACAACCTTGCTCTCAAAAAAGTGTAAAAATATATTTTTGGCTTCAGTCAGACAGAAAGAGAAAAATTCAATAAAATAGGGTTAGGGTAAAAAAAAAAAAGCAATGGGAATATTGTACAGGGGCATAGTCCATGTTTGTGATCAATGTTATTGTATCTACATTATGATATATAATGTTACTGTATCTACATTATGATATGAATTATTGTAGAATACAAAAAAGCAAACATGATCAGTTCTAGATCTTCTAACATAGTTAAAAAATAAAGTTGGGGGATGTCTTCAAAGGTTTCATTTTGCAGCTCTTGATGGACTGGTCTCAAGCAGCATGGAGGCCATTACCCACCACAATTCTGGGCCCCAACAGCTGCAATACACCACGCTCCCTGACTTTCTAATTAGCTTATCTGCGAATAGAAGTACACCAGGCAATTCTATGCTCTAGCAGGCTGACAACGAGTGGCCAGTGGGGCTGAGCTCGTGCCTACAGTGCCACCAAGGGAGCCATTGTCACACCCACATTATAACAAGAAAAAAATGATATTTCTGTCTCAACTCAACTGCATTAATTCTCAGTTCCTAAAGAAGGTGAAAATTATGCTATTTATCAATATCAAAAGTTTCTACATGATTTATGAACAACAGGTTTTACAAAAGTCTCGAGGCCAATTATTTTGAGTCCACTCTCAAAGACAACATACACTGAATGTCAGTTTCAGAGTCCTTTACAAAGGCATCTTAATAGCTATAAAATATGGAATGACATATTATGTGCGAGCAAGTGAACCCCAGAATTTACCCAGGGGGCTGACGGAGGTATATGTATCTATCATTACGGTGAGTGCAGAGCCACGCCATTTCTCCTTTGTTTAATGTGTCTGGAAACTAAATAAACAATGCCATTAATCTGTCTCAGATTTTACAAAGCAACATTGTCTCTTTTTAATTAGACATTCTATTACTCATTCTTTATAAAACACGGATCTCCAAATGTCAGATGGTACAGTCAAGCTGTAGAAACTTCTGATCTCATTCTTCTCTGCCCCACAGCCACTAACGCTAGCGGGGTTTTGCGTGTGATTCACAGATTTTTGCTGAACGTAACAAAATGCATGTCCTGCTTGTATGCACAATCTCATCCTCACCCATATAAATAAGATTTTAAAATCCATATCAAAGATACAATTGTAAACAAAATCAACGGAATGTATCATGTATTGTGAGATAAAAAAATGTGTGTATGCATGATATTTTTTAACCCAAACTTGATTTTCTTTTTTAATGTATGTTCAAAAAGGATAATCTGATGCACTGTTAGAGAATGCTATATCGGCAGATGTATATTGCCTCAATAATTCATCACCATCCCACAAAGTCTGCTGCCTTGTAAAAGAACACTAAATAAAACAAATAAACTGGCTAATGGTTACATTTCCTGAGCAGGTGGTAATCATTTTCAAGACAAATATTGCAAGACAGTGGCCACACAGCAACTTGTGTGTGCATGCAGGTGTTCACCTGCATGTGTGTATGTGCTTTTGAAGTAAGGGCACTACAACTTTTATCTGGCTTGACCCTGAACAGCAGGATGACTTGTGCTGAAGGCACAGCTCCTTCCTCCAACTGTAGTGATGAACATGGAGGTTAGAGCTGATCCTGCCGAGCCTGTGGCGACCAAAAGCCAGTGAAGCCCCAAGACACAAGGCACCTGCACTGAGCGATAAAGGCTTCAACTGCAGGGCTAACGCTGACAATTCTGATGATAGATTCAGACATGCAGGCAAGCCAGGGTGGAACTGTCCTCCCTGTCTCAAATAATCCCCTTCTAGTAAATTTTCTGCCTTCTGTCTCTCTGGGTAGCGCCTTTATCTTGTCCTTTTTGAGTTTAGATCAGACAGGCGTGAACTATCTACTTTTCTGCATTTTCTTCTTTAAAAATAAATAAATATATATTTCATATCTGTAACTGTCAGCAAGTAGATTGCTACTTTAGAAGCCGCCTGAGATTTGTTGTATGGAAAGTCAAAGAGGGTCTTGTGTTAAAAGCATTTTGGCCACTTTTGGGGACTCAAACAATAAGAGAGACAGCAGCAGACAGTTGAAAATGGTGGCATAAGTGCTGAGGACAGGATGCCTCTTGAGCATTTAAAAGCATAGAAGCTCAGAGGTAAATGGCATTGGTTCTGCTGATGGGACCCAATTGTTGTGCTGGCCCCTTAAACACCTATTTAAGAGAGTGAAAAATAAACGTGGCCAAACAGTTGAGGGGAACATAATTTATAAGAGCCAGAACACAGGCAAGAACACAGACTAAAACATGAGATCAAGGCCCAGTTACTACCCATTCAGTAGTTAATAATGATCTCGAATTACACTTTCAAAGTGTGTGTTTTATAGCACCTTTTCTATATTCAAAATACAATAATTTCAGTCATCTCTCAGCCTAAGCTCAGACAGCATAACTGCTTCACCTGAGAATACCAGCACTTATTATTAAGTGCTTTCCAACTGCACTCTATATGTTTGGCAGTTCTGAAACAAGAGTGTGGTCCCAACACTTTGATATATCTAAAGAAAATTGATACAAAGCTGAAAGGCCACTACACAGAAAAGCATACACAGCATAGCAGAACAATGCTGCTCTGTGCCATTTCATAGACAGCAGTTCATCGCTCCTGTCTGCAGAGTCACGACCGTTGTCTATTCCCATTACCCTGCGCCCTGTATGCAAACTTCCACCGGTGTGGGCACGAGGCTGCAGACGCGAGCGGCTCAAGGTGGCAGATGCCTGGCGTTACGCGGATGCCCTCCATCAGTTGATGACAGATGTCAGGCTTGTGTTGGATGGCAACACTTCATCATGCCACTCTGTTGGGCTGCCTCGCCCCAATGGTTACAGCAGGCAGGCTGGCAGACGAGTGCGAGTCCCACTGCACCGGGCTGCTTCTCCTGCCACACCTAGTCATTCACAAACACACGCAGTCTCCAAACCGCATCCATCAGTCAGCTGTTATTACAACAGACAGCCGTCATACTGCCAACCAATGGATCACATGCTAATGCGCCCGGACGCATCCTCTCTCTGAGGCTTCAGAGTGTGGCTGTGCATGGGTGGGTGCAAGGAGGCGGATTGTTGGGGTGAAAACAAATTTGTCAAAGTTGCGCAAAGTTTTTAGCAAGGTATTCTAAACAATGAATGTAGATAGTATAGTGGGAAGTACCATTTGGGCCGACTGGTGGACTTGACGACAGGAGACATGCCATCCCTATAGAGGCTCTTGGTCTTAGAGAAGTTCACAACGTTGAAGATGACCCTCTGAAAAGAATAGAAGAGATATCTGTCATACAGGATACAAGAACCACCCAATGCCTAGACGCATGATGTGTTGTAAACAGTATAACGATAAGAGAGCTTTGATGTGTGGCAGATGATCCGATGTTGCAGTTGCAAATAAAAGGCCGACATTCAGAGGAGGGCCAGCTCTAATCTGCAAGAACATTATGGTCTTTCCTTGAGGGATGCTCCCAAGCCCAAAACATTAAGCCTCTCCTCGAGCGCAGAGAACAGCCATGGTGCCTGACTCCCCACCTGCTCCATACCAAAGACTTTGTGTCAGACTGGAAAATACAGCTAAATCTTTCCCCACCCCACCTCTATCTTTGATGCATCAGGCAGAGAAATGCGCAGTCAGAAATAAATACATTTAAAAAGTCAACTGAACAAGCATAGTAAAACTGTGGTGATTTAAATGAATACATATTTTAAATCCTTCAATATTATTGATGGAGCATATCAAATTACCAACTACAGCCAGGTGGTGGAAGTTAACTGGGTGCTGCTGAAATCCTATTACACCCTCCTCTCCTCCCCATTTTTTCTCCCTTTCTACTGCATGGCATCAGAGGAGCGGGGATTGCGGATTGTGGCAGGCTGATTCAGACTTAGGTAAAATGACATCTAACTGATGTTGAGACTGGCAGCAGGCTCCTGTAGCAGGGAGATAAGACCATTGCTGCTGGCATTTCAATTACACTTTACTGCCCCGCACATCTGTTGCAAGAGCTACTTTTCAGCCTTTCCCCTTCAGGCAAATACTGCCTCACTCTAACTCCACTAGCTCCTTTGACGATACTGTTCCTTCTCCATTCTTCTGCTTCCACAACAAATTTATATTGTCTTCCTCCTTAACTGCGGAACACTTCCCATTTTTGATCTCGTTGTTGGGTCTGGTTAGTCCAAAGGAAGCTGTGATAGGGACAAAGCCTTTGAGAAAAAAGTCAAGCTCACTGACCCAAAATACAAAATAGTGGACAGGTTCTGATAGGAAATGTACTGGATTCAACACCTAATGTGTTTCCAATGTTGCATCCAAGGGCTATCACCACAGTTCAAATAATAGTAATACAACTTTACCCAGTTTGCATGTTTCTTCCAGTGGGATGGGTTTTCTCAGGGCTCCAATTCACCACAAAACATGCATAATGGTAAAATCCTCTATACAAAAGATAGTTCTGACTATAGCATACACCAGTCCAGTTTTTGGTATATACTGGCATATTTTGAATGTACGCTAATTGAAGTTTACTAAAGGCTACAGAACATGGCAGGTTGAATGAGATTTCATGTGACTGTGTTTAAAGAACTGAATATAAAGAGATAGAAGATGTGAATCGTTGACAAATAACATTTTTGCTGTTTTTGTTGTCACGGTTGAGTTTGTTCCTAGGCAGATATTACAAGTGCAAATCTGAAGTCATTTTTGCATGAAATTGTGCTCACATTCCCATCTGCAAACAGCAGAACTTATCACTAGAGTATGCACATGGAAATCAGGAATCAGGATGTTTCCTTGTGGTTCATGGTTGACAGAATGGCCCAACAGTATTGTTTAATTTGATGATTCCTTTGTTTGTGTGTGTGTGTGTGTGTGTGTGTGTGTGTGTGTGTGTGTGTGTGTGTGTGTGTGTGTGTGTGTGTGTGTGTGTGTGTGTGTGTGTGTGTGTGTGTGTGTGTGTGTGTGTGTGTGTGTGTGTGTGTGTGTGCACTTGTTTTCAACTCCTGGTGGGTTCCATAACCTGAGATTCCACTCACGTCATGGGGACTGGTTTTACGTGGTGGGGCCCGAACACCGGACCCCACTGGTCCAAGCTTAATAATCAATGGGTAATGCTTTTCTAACGGTCCTTATGCAGTCTCTGTAAAAATATGGAAAGGACCCCTGGAGGTTTACTTTCCTGAAAAAAGTGTGTTATGTGTCGGAACCCTGGTGGTGGGTTGCGGGATATCAAGGAGGGGCACACTGGGGCAATTTCAGTCCAGCAGGCTGGAGCCAATCATGGAGCAGCACAACAGAGGAAATCAGGTGTCAGGCTAGAAAAAGGTGCAAGTGTGTGGTTCATTAGGCTGCAAGAAATCATGGAGGAGCACACTGAAGCGCACGCTTACAAACCACTGGTAAGTGCTGACTACAAGTCATGACTTCAAATTGTTATATAGAATGATTACAAATTATTTGTTGTTTGTGCAGCTTAGTCAAGAGTCCCTAATTGATGAAGTCGACTCAGATTCTGACGATTTAACTGTCAAGAAGAAACCTTTAAAAAAGTATGGAAAAAGAAAAATCAAAAACACTTTTCTTCAAGACTCGGAAAGTGACGAACCAAAGGCAAATAAGATTGTTATCATGCAGCTGCAAAAGAAGAAAAATGGGGGGCGAGTATACAGCAAGAGACACTTCTGCCTCTACTGTTCAATGTCCTGCCACAAAATGTCCCGTCATTTGACTAGAAAACATGGAAATGAAAGTGACGTAGCCAGAGCATTGGCTCTACCTGTGAAATCTAAAGCACGTAAACTTCAGTTTGATTTGATCAGGAATAGTGGAAACCGTGAGCACAATTTTGAGGTTTTAAAGGCCGGCATTGGAACTTTAGTCCCAGCTAAACAGCCAAATTCCCCAGTTAAATCCAGTGAGTTTTTGCACTGTATAGACTGTGGGGCATTGCTTAAGCGAAAGTCGCTGTGGAGGCATGTGGCCAGGTGCCGGCTTTCACAGAAAGATGCCCAGGCTAAACCAGGTAGAAGTAGGGTCCAGTCCCTCTGCTCCCTAGCCCAGCCTGTACCGGAGGGCATCAGCAAAAAGCTGTGGTCTTTAATTTCGGCAATGCATCAGGATGAGGTCACGGGTGTTGTCAAAGCAGAAAAGGGGATTCTGAGACTCGGAGAGCACCTGTACTTAAAACACGGGCATGATAAGACAAAGCATGATTACATTAGGCAGAAAATGAGAGAAGTCGGTAGGTTAATTAACGAAGCAAAAACCGCAGGGAAACTGAAAACAATTAAGGATTTCTTTATTCCTTCCAACTTTAACCATGTGATTGATGCAGTCAGGTCTGTGGCTGGATATGATGAGGAAACAAATCAATACAAGACTCCATCCTTGGCCCTCAAACTCGGCCATAGCCTCAGAAAGCTAGCAGATATTCTTGAATGTGACTCAAAAATGGAGCATTGTGTTGATGAACTATTTATTAAAAACCTCCAACGAAGCCGGCTGCTTTTTGAGAAGAGGTGGGACGTCTGTGTTTCTTCTGCTGCCCTACAGACCCTCCGGCAAGCCAAGTGGAACACTCCGGACCTGCTCCCTCTGACTGAGGACGTTAGAGCCATGCATGCACATATTGAGGTATGTCGACCTGAATATGTGCAAACCCTAATAAGTGAGCCAACGTCTAAGCATTGGTCTAAACTGGCAGTTTTGACTCTTTGTGAGGTCATCATTTTCAATCGAAGAAGGGAAGGTGAGGTTTCAAAGATCCACTGACAGCCTTTACCTTAAGAAGTAAGACTGGGATCCATTCTGACATTGCTCTGGGACTGTCCCAACTTGAGAAAAAGCTGTGTCAGCATTTTCAACGCATTGAAATTAAAGGGAAAAGAAGTCGGAAAGTGCCGGTTCTTTTGACTCCTGAAATGATTGCTTCGATGGAGGTGCTGGTGGAGAACAGAAGGGCCTGTTCCATCTCTGACCATAACCCATACTTCTTTTCCCGCCCGGGCGCAGACACCCACATCAGGGGATCAGACTCCCTACGCCAGGTAGCCAAAGAATGTGGTGCGGTGCATCCAGAGATGCTATCCTCAACCAAACTTAGAAAGCACATAGCTACTATGTCTACAGTTCTCAATATGAAAGAGAATGAGATGGACATACTTGCCAACTTCCTCGGCCATGACATTCGCATCCACAGGCAATATTACAGACTACCAGAGGGGACACTGGAGCTGGCCAAAATCAGCAAAGTGTTGATGGCCATGGAGCAGGGAAGAGTGACGGAATTCGAAGGAAAGAGCCTCGACCAGATACAAATTGAGCCTGAAGGTAATTCTTGATATTATTAAAATATGTATGATTTTTTTCCCCTAAAGGCCACTTGTATTTTTATTTTCTGTGCGACAGGGAGAGCAGTAGAGATCCTCTCACAAACGGACGGGCTAAAAGAAACTTCAAGCGGAGAACCTTCAACCATTCATCCAGATGCACCCCATGGTAGTGGCAGTGCCCCTTCTGGTAAGTGTACCAGGTGGGGGATTACAGCCAGGCTGCTTGGTCCTCACCCTGGGAGTGTATATTGCTAATATATTTTTATTTCTCTCCCTAGAACGTGTAAGAAAGCCATGGTCTGCATCTGAGGTGAAGGCTGTGGAGAAGACCATGACACCTTTCATACAGACTGGAAAGGTCCCTGGGAAGTCTCACTGCCTGGCCTGCATTAATGCCTCACCAGATGACCTTAGACATCGGACATGGAGTGGCATTAAATTCTATGTCAAAAATAGAATCACTGCAATTCGAAAACAAAATCTAAAATAAAATTCCTTTAAAATAGTTGTTTGGTTTCTATTGACTGTTTTGTATTACTTAAAGTCTTGGTAAAAAAAGATTATGTCTATGGGTCCCATTCTGAACGGCCCTGTCAAAGGGACCCACCAGGTAACAAAAACGTGTGTGTGTGTGTGTGTGTGTGTGTGTGTGTGTGTGTGTGTGTGTGTGTGTGTGTGTGTGTGTGTGTGTGTGTGTGTGTGTGTGTGTGTGTGTGTGTGTGTGTGTGTGTGTGTGTGTGTGTGTGTGTGTGTGTGTGTGTATGCGCGTGTGTGTATGCACGTGTGTGTGTGCACTTGTTTTCAACTCCTGGTGGGGTCCATAACCTGAGATTCCACTTACGTCATGGGGACTGGTTACGTGGTGGGGCCCGAACACCGGACCCCACTGGTCAAAGCTTAATAATCAATGGGTAATGCTTTTCTAACGGTCTCTGCAAAAATATGGAAAGGACCCCTGGAGGTTTACTTTCCTGAAAAAAGTGTGTTATGTGTCGGAACCCTGGTGGTGGATTGCGGGATATCAAGGAGGGGCACACTGGGGCAATTTCAGTCAAGCAGGCTGGAGCCAATCATGGAGCAGCACAACAGAGGCTGGAGCCAATCATGGAGCAGCACAACAGAGGAAGTCAGGTGTCAGGCTAGAAAAGGTGCAAGTGGAGGCATGAGGCCAGGTGCCGGCTTTCATAGAAAGATGCCCAGGCTAAACCAGG